TGTTGCGCTGGGCCGAACGGGTCCAGGCCGCCGGGCGCGGGTTGGGGGAGTGTTGGTCTTCGGTCTCGGCGCTCCGCACCTTCTTACCTCCCTTCCGCCGCCCCCTCAGCCCCACTTCGAGGTGCGGGCGCACGTTCGCGCTCGCAACCCGGTAGGGGCCTCGTTGCCAATTTAGTGTGCGCTTGCGGGGGCGGCGGTGTGGGTGGCGGCTACAACGTGGTTCGCTTCGGAGCGCTTGTTTTCTCCCCGCCACGTGGCGTCGGCGGCGCATCTTGTACAGGCCRGCTCGYTCGCGTCGTGCACGTGCGCGCCGCGGGCGAGTGGCCGAGCCCCTCCTCCTTTTGCTGGAGTGTTGGCTGCGGCGAGCCTCGYTCAAGCAGGGCAGTGGAAGACTGGATTTCTTGGGCGGGAACGCGGTCGCCATCCTGATAAGATGGATAGCTATAGGCTGGAATGGGTCCCCCCCTTTTATAGCCGCCGAGCTGCATTTAAAGGCACTAGGCCTTTCGGCTATGGGCGCCAATGGAGCCGCTTGGYGGGAATGCGGCTGCCATGGTAAAAACGCGGCGCCATCTTGGGATGGGCGCCGCCGCCATTTTGAATTCGTCATATTTTATTTACRTAATAAATAAATAAAGAAATATATATTTAAAAAAAAAAAATTTATTACACGCATCTATGTGTGTATGTGTCTATATGTATATATATGTATATGTAGGTATATGTATGTGTGCGTTTCTATATATATATATATAGAGATTAAAAATTAATTAATTAAATATAGTCTTGATGGGAGCCTCAATGGTACATCTCACGCATCAAGACTTAAGGCGAATGTGAACAGACCAAGAGACCCAACTGCAGGCCTTAACTATTGGGTGCAGGTGAGCTCCTGAGGTCAGCCCCAACTTGTTGTTGCCCAATATCAAGATTTAATGCAAATGTGAGTGGATCAATAGGCTTAGCAATGGGCCTGGCTACTGGAGTGGGTGAGGAGCTCCTGATGTCAGCCCCAACTTTAAATAGCCTCTCAATGCGACGGCAGTTGGATGGGTGCTGCAGATTGGGATAATAAGATAGTGAAAGAAGCATGCATGACCCCAACCGCTGGTTGGGGCTTTGTAAAAATATGAGCTCTCAATTAAACTGATGTAATAACTAACATCGCAGGTGGTCTTGTTAGTGGGGCTGCAGGCAAATGGAAAAGATCAATATAATTTGCCATTGATTATGTGTGCTTCATGCTGGTTTCGTCACCCGACACCTGAGGTTCAATCCGCTCAGTGGTGTTCTATATTATTGACGCATTTACTGTTAATTTCATTTCAGGATGGCGCCAAGGAAGAATGTGGGCGGTCCCAAAGGAAAGGGACCTGCCAAGAAGACGTCGGCAAAACGTCCCCTCCCTCCCAACGAATCATCATCGGGGGAGGATGACGTTTCTGCTGAAGACTTAAATGCCTTGATGGCCAGAATGGAAAAATTTGAACGGGAGAGAGGGTTGTCAACAAGGGAGGCGGGGCCGCGCCCGGCACGACGGGCGAGCAGGAAGCTGATTTTTAAAAATCTTCTCTCCCGTATGTCTGTTTTAGAGGCCAGCTGTGCAGCGGTGAGGCGGGATGGAGAAGGGYCGGAACAACCAGAGCCCAGCCAWGAAGAACAGGGTCCCACTGCCCCGTTGGTTGGGCAACCTCAAGCGGCCCGGGGTCAGGCGGCGGCGGACCAGTTAGCACCATCAGCACTGACTGACGCTGCGCCGGCGATATCCCGGCCTCAGCTGGAGATTCCAGAAGTCCGGCCTGAGACGATTGCAACATCATCGGCCGCCGCCCCGGCTTATCCGGTCCGAGCATCTTCCTCGGCGGCACCGGCCGTTTCAGGGTCGGTGTCAGTGGGACAGCCTTCCGTACAAGACAGTGTTGTAGACGGGCCGTCGACATCATCAGGTAATAACAATACACTGGTCTGGCCTTGGGGCCCGAGCCAGGCGCAAAACACTACATCTACTCCTCTAAGTGCGACTATGGTGATAGCAGGACCTGCAGCCACTAAGGCTGGTCCTGAAGCGCCCATAGTTGCCCCCATAACTTTAGAAATGGCTAGGTCAGGAGACGACAATCAGTATTGGGGAACTGATAAATGGGTTCTGCCTGTAGTTGCCACGGCAGCCTCAGCCTCTTTGGGGGCTCATTTATCACAGAAAACCATTGATAAGATACTCAGGAACGAGTACATAGATATGTTCTCCTTATATTTTAGGGAGTTAGAGAAAAAAGAGAAGGATGACATGGATGAGGAGCGAAAAGAAAAAATGAAGAAAAGGCGGGTCGAGCAAAATTGGAGAAATTGGATTGCATGTTATACTATATATGCATCCCTATTAGTTGAAGCTCACCCATATAGGGCCAAGTCCCTATTCAAGTACCAAAACATTATTTATGGGGCATACGTGAACTACACGGGCCAGGCGTGGCTGGTTTATGATTGCCGCTTCCGTACAGAAGCCGCCACAAAGCCTAATAAGAGATGGGACCTCATCGACAGTCAATTGTGGATGGAGGTGATGAATACAACCAGGGCAGTTTCTGGTGAGAAGGCGGATAGTGGTCACACTATACAGAACGCCAAAGGGAGTCAGCCCTTTCGGCGGGGAAACCCAGCACAGCAGCCGCAAAGACAAAAAGGAATGTGCTGGGGATATGCGGCTCGCGGAGTTTGTGCACGCAAGGATTGCACATACCAGCACGCCTGTGCGATATGCCAAGGTAACCACTCAACCAAGAGCTGTTACAGGGCAAAGCCAGCAAGGACTGGGCCAAGGGCCATCCAGTTCAACAAAAACAACCCAGGACAAGGAAATGTTCCAAAAGGGTCCCAGCCCAATCAGGGTGGGTCCGCTTAGTGGTTGGCTAGAAAGATACCCTGATAGAGCGGCAGCAGAATATCTGCTTGCTGGCTTTACAGAGGGCTTTAGGATCCCTGCCCTTGGGCCACGTTCCCCTTGTCTAGCAGCCAATTTAAAGTCGGTCAAAGGACTCGAATACATAGTTGAGCAAAAAATAAACAAAGAGGTTAAAGAAGGCAGAGTTTTGGGTCCATTTGTTGGACCCCCCACGCCTCAGTTTAGGGTTTCTCCTTTGGGAATAGTGCCCAAAAAAGCTATCGGTGAATACCGCCTCATTCATCATCTGTCTTACCCGAGAGGGGGATCGGTGAATGACGCCATTCCCGACGAACAATGTTCGGTTAGCTACACATCCTTTGACYCAGCGGTACGGTTAGTACGACAGTATGGGCCYGGAGCAGAGTTGGCGAAGTGTGATATTAAATCCGCTTTCAGGCTGCTCCCGGTGCATCCGGCTGATTTTGAATTGTTGGGATTCCGGTTTCAGGGCCTTTTTTACTGCGATCGGGCTTTGCCCATGGGATGCGCAATCTCTTGCGCCGCTTTTGAGACGTTCAGTACATTCCTGGAGTGGGCAATAAAAGAGAAATCGGGCCTCAGAGGAGTCGCACATTATCTCGACGACTTTCTTTTTGTAGGCAAGGGCGGATCAGGGGACTGTGGTGCCCTGCTGTGCGCTTTTCAGGAGCTAGCGGAGTGCCTAGGGGTACCTTTAGCTGAAGAAAAAACAGAAGGCCCCCTCACTGTTTTGACATTCCTGGGGATAGAGATTGACACAGTTAACCAATTTTCGAGGCTGCCGGAAGAAAAGATCTTGGCTTTGATTGACAGGATTAGTCAATTCTTGCCCCGGCGAAAGGCGACCTTAAGGGAATTCCAACAAATAATTGGTCACTTAAATTTCGCATGTAAAGTCATAGCACCCGGACGGGCCTTTCTGCGCAGTTTGTGTGATGCTGTCACGGGGGTAGCTTTGCCTCACTATCACATCAGGCTGACAAGTGAGATTAGGGCAGATTTGTTCGTGTGGCTGCAATTCCTGCACCAGTTTAACGGAATCTCGTTTTGGCGACAGGAATTGATGGTGAAGAATGCACTAGAAGTATCTTCAGACGCGGCTGGGTCAGTCGGATTTGGAGTGTACTTTAAAGGGCACTGGTGTGCAGAAAGGTGGCCAGACCATTGGCATACATTAGGAATAACAGCTGACTTAACCTTTTTGGAATTCTTTCCTATTTTAGTGGCAGTCACCCTCTGGGCCGGCATGTTTGCCAATTCCACGGTGCATTTTTGGTGCGATAATATGGCCACAGTGCAGGTCATTAACACACTGACATCTAAATCACACAGGGTCATGGGCGCCATTCGACAGTTTGTCTTACAATGTCTAAAATTTAACATATTGTTTCGGGCATTCCACATCGCGGGTCTCAATAACGCCTTGGCTGACGCTCTGTCTCGTTTTCAGATGGAGCGATTCAGGCAACTGGCACCCGACGCGGACGTGGACCCAGAGCGCATGCCGGACCATCTCTGGAAGGTTGGAGTGACGAGACGGCGTTAGGTATGAGTTTGGCTCTCGCACCCAGCTCCAGAAAATCATACATCAGGGCAGTCCAAGAATTTCTAGATTTTAGACAACAATATAACCTGCCGGGAGCCATGCCTGTCCCTTACGAGCAGCTGGCTCAGTTTTGTGTATACAATAAGAGGAGAGGCTTAGCACCCCAGTCCATTAGAGCGAAGTTATCAGCGCTCGCTTATTGGTTCAAGGCCCAGGGCCTTAGCGACCCCACTGATGACTTTAGGATACACAAATTCTTAACGGGATGGTCCAGGCAGCGCGGGCATCCCAGGGATGAACGGCAGCCAATGACACCCGCTATTATGAAAGGACTTAAACAGCTATGGCCCAGATTGTGCACCTCACTTTATGAGCAGGTTTTATTTCATGCCGCGGCTTTGACTGCGTTTTTTGGAGCTCTCCGGGTGAGTGAATTGGTAGCATTATCCAAGAGCGATACCTCACGCCGTGCATTGTTGATTTCCGACATTAAGGTTCTTCACGATAACATTGAAATCATTATCAGAGCTTCCAAAACTGACCAAGAATCTAAGGGCCAGGTGTTCAGGCTGCTAAAGTGCAGTGAGGAGGACCTTTGCCCCGTGAAGGCCATGACACAATTTACGGCGCTCAGGGGCAGTGAGAAAGGTTACCTTTTCTCCCATCAGGATGGCAAGCCGCTGACCAAGTACCAATTCTGGACCATCACAACTAAGGCGCTGGTCATGCTGGGATTGGGTCACCTTAAATTTGGGACCCACTCCTTTAGGATTGGTGCTGCCACAGCAGCAGCTGAGATGGGGTATGGCGATGATGAGATAAAAGCCATAGGTAGATGGAGGTCTGGCGCGTTCAGAGGCTACGTACGGTCAGTTTCATCCTAGATGTGGTTATCGTTGCAGGTCTCTCCAGGCTGGCACATAGAAGACGGGTCCTGGTCTGCGGACACAGTTATGTCTTTTGGGCAGGGAGAGAGGCCCTCAGGACTGCCTATGGCCAGCATTTGGGGCTCGCTTCCACGGCAGCGGTGGAATGGAGAGGAAGGAGAGGCCTGCGTTGGGACGGTTTGTGCCCCTTGTTGTTTAATGCCGGGAGTGTTTTGCCTCCCGATGTGTTGGTTATCCACCTCGGTGGTAACGATTTGGGCCTGTTAACAGGCAAAGCCCTCTTTTTACAAGCAAGGGCAGACATCCGTAAAATTTGGTGGACATGGCCCGGGGTGCACATCGTTTGGTCCGCTATCATACCTCGTCGCAGATGGCTCGGAGGAGGCGACGTGGGGAGGCTCGAAAAAGCCAGGAAGCGAGTGAACCGGGCCATGCGGATATTCATGATCCATCAGAGGGGTCATGTTATCTCACATCCAAATATCACACGGGATGATGAGAGGTTATATCGTAGTGATGGAGTGCACCTATCTGAATTGGGCAACCAACTATTTTTGCAAAATTTGCAAGAAGGTATCAGAAGGGTGTTAGAGGAATTGGTGGGGGATAGGGGCGAAATAGACATTTGCCCCTAATCCGTGGCGTAAATAGATAGAAAATTCCCTTTAGTCGGTGTGCACCTAGGGCACCCCTTTAAGGGGTGAAAGGCCGTTAAGTTAAACACTCGCCTCCAGTTTAAAGGGGGACGTGTAGTTAAATGGCCTTTAATTGGAAGGAGTCTCGATACAAGAGTTCTGGAAGAGACTCCTTATTCCTTTCCCTTGAGGGTAGTACGGTTTGATTACCGGAACCCAGGTGCTTCGCCCGGAAGTTGTTGTTATCGGGTAGAGACTCTACCTGGGTTAGGTTGCATCAGTTCCTTACACCCTTGAGTTAGTTCAGAACTTAAATAGGTAACGTTAAATAAAAGTTGCCCAATTTGAATCCAAACATTGTTGTTGTGTCTTTATTTCTGGTGTTACTTCGTGGGTTGGCGGACAATAGTTTTCCCCTCCCCATGAAATGGGGAGAGAGGAAAAACATTTGTCTGCCTCACACGAGGCAGGGAGGAGTTCGGAGGAACCCTCCAGAACATCCGGGGGGCGTGGCCTGAGAACGCAGGCCAGCCCCTCTCAGGCTCATTCCAGCCTGGAAGTTGGCCCACCGCTCCCGCCCATTAACAGTATATCACGGTTGCCTGTGGAACCGGGTAGGAATTTTTTCCTCTTCTTGTTTCATGGGGGAGGTTTTTTGCCTACCCTATACTGTTTAGGGGCTAGATGGAGTTGGTCGGCTATGCTTAAATAGGCCAGGCGTAAATAGATAGAAAATTCCCTTTAGTCGGTGTGCACCTAGGGCACCCCTTTAAGGGGTGAAAGGCCGTTAAGTTAAACACTCGCCTCCAGTTTAAAGGGGGACGTGTAGTTAAATGGCCTTTAATTGGAAGGAGTCTCGATACAAGAGTTCTGGAAGAGACTCCTTATTCCTTTCCCTTGAGGGTAGTACGGTTTGATTACCGGAACCCAGGTGCTTCGCCCGGAAGTTGTTGTTATCGGGTAGAGACTCTACCTGGGTTAGGTTGCATCAGTTCCTTACACCCTTGAGTTAGTTCAGAACTTAAATAGGTAACGTTAAATAAAAGTTGCCCAATTTGAATCCAAACATTGTTGTTGTGTCTTTATTTCTGGTGTTACTTCGTGGGTTGGCGGACAAACACACTTATACACACATACACACATTAAAGATGTATATATCTATATAAATAAAAATGTAATGTCCGTTTGTGGGATTAACAGAACTCAAAAACCACTGGACGAATTGACACCAAATTTGGACACAAGACACCTAACAACCCAATGTATGTCCTTCACTCAAAAAAAATGATTTTGTCATTTGGGAGTTGTAGTTGCTGGGATTTATAGTTCACCTACAATCAAAGAGCATTCTGAACTCCACCAATGATGGAATTGGACCAAACTCGGCACACTGTTCTCCCATGACCAACAGAAAATACTGGAAGGGTTTGGTGGGCAGTGTCCTTTGGTTTTGGAGTTGTAGTTCACCTACATCCAGAGACAGGCTCATAGCCAGGATTTTGTATCGAGGGGCTGAATTTTTTTCAGGGGGGTTTCGGGGGGGGGGCGGGCTGGGTTTCGGGGGGGGGGCTGAGTCTGAGTGAAAGAGGGATCTACCCTAGCAAACCTTTTGTATCATTACCCCAATACCCCCATGCATATGGGATATATTGAGTATGGTGATCAGATCATGATATGAATAAACATAACAGTTTAAATAATGCACCAGTAAGGCCTTTTCGCGAACCACCATGAGAATTTTGGGGGGGGGGGGCTGAAGCCCCTCAAGCCCCCCCCCCCCCCCCGGCTACATGCCTGTCCAGAGATCACTGTGGACTCAAACAATGATGGATTTGGACCATATTCGACACAAATACTCAATGTGCCCAAATGTGAACACTGGTGGAGTTTGGGGAAAATAGAATCTCGACATTTGGGAGTTGTAGTTGCTGGGAATTGTAGTTCACCTACAATCACAGAGCATTCTGAACCCCACCAACGATAGAATTGGGCCAAACCTCCCACACAGAACCCCCATGTGGGCCACAACAATGCGTGTCAGGGGACGGCTAGTATATATAAATAAAAATGTAATGTTCGTTTGTGCTACTCATAGAACTCAAAAACCACTGGGGCAATTGGCACCAAATTTGGACACGATACACCTAACAACCCAATTTATGTTCTCCACTCAATAATAATAATAATAATTAACTGGAAAGAACTTACCCCCCACAAGGCTAAATGCCTATATAGAGCCTGTGTTAAAAGAACCCTTCCCCCACCCCTCGCTCCTGCACGAAGGGAAAAAACCCAACCGCTGAGAGAGAGAGAGAGAGAGGCGGCACAAGAGAGGGAAAGGGAGAGAGAGAGAGAGAGAGAGAGAGAGAGAGAGAGAAAGAGAGAGAGAAATCGATCCTTTCCTTCTTGCCTTGCTGCCTCCTACGCTGGGCTGCTGGGAACTCACAGGGATTCTGTGTGTGTGTGTGTGCCCAGAAACCTCACCCATACTGAGTTATGGGAAGGCATTCTGGGAAATGAAGTCCAGTATTCAAGGAAGGGACAAAAAGGCACGCTCTGTGAGTTAGCAAAGGCTGTCCAGGAAGGCAGAATCAACACACTCCCAAAAGATGGGCATCCATTTTTACTTTATACCAAGCCTGGGCTATAATATATCTACAATAATAATAATAATATCTATATAGCTATCAATCATAATAATATCTATCAATCTATAATAACGTATATGTCTATGATATCTATATGTCTTTAACAATAATATCTACATTTCTATCATAATATCTATATGTCTGTAATAATGTTACATTTTAATAATATCTACAGGTCTATAATAATATCCATATGTCTATTATTATAATATCTGTCTGTCAAAAATATCTGAACATTTATAACAATAATACCTATATGCCTATAATATCTGTCTATAATAATAATAATAATAATAATAATAATAATATCTATATCAAGTATAATAATATGTATACATCTATTATAATAATAGCTATATAATATCTATAAAATAATAATAAAAATAATAACATCTATATGTCTATAATAATATCTATAGGTCTGTAATAATATCCATACATCTGTTGCCTGTTTTTGCTTGAAAGATATTGAGCCCTATGCTCCTTCTATTTTTATCAGTTTTATGCAATTTATGCAATGCTTTTGATATGAAATTCATAAATAAATAACATCTATAATACTAATACCTATATAGCTTTAATAATAATATTTGTATCTATAATAATAATATCTATATGCCTATAATAATATCTATATGTCTATAATGACAACAATACCTATATAATAACTTGGAACTGGTTATATGGCAGTGTGGACTCAGGTAACCCAGGGCCCTTCCACACATCCATAGAACCCTTTGGCCTCGAGGAGACTGAAATGGGCCAGTATTAGGTTGACACTTTGCCACTTTCGTTGTGTATTGATAGCTTAGAAACCAGCTCTTCCTCTTTTCTTTCTTTCCCATTTCTCCACAACGGGCCACAGCAACACGTAGCGGGTACAGCTAGTATATAATAAATATACATATAATAAAAGTGAAAATATGTATGTGAGTGGGCTGTCCACTTACACAGATAAGTTCCCACCTCCACAAACAGCTATGATGTCCACCCTTGAGGAGCCACCAAAGGCCCTCCCTCCAATGAGATTGCAGGTTATAGTGAGCGCCATGAACATGTCCAAGAGCCCTGCCAATGTCCTCCACAAACACTATACTGCCCACCACCCAAGTGAAGGCTTTCATATGGGACAATTTTATCCTTGATCTGTGTTTCCTCCAGACATCCCAGTGTTTCTTACTCTCTCCATTGGGGTGGAATTTGCATGACCCCGCCCATTGCCTCTCCCTTAAACTTTTCCTATTCTTTCTTATGGTACACAGCAAACAGAGGAATTGACCAGCAATTGAACATACTAGAGAGGTTAGGGGAGAATTCACCATAATTTATAGGAGTTGTAGGTACTGGGATTTATAGTTCACCTGCAATCTAAGAGCGGACGCGTTAATGGCGGACGCGATTGCGCAATGCGCGAAAAGCACCTCCAAATGGGACAGGGGGAACTTCTGAAGCTTCCCACTCCCTCTGTGGTTGACTCTTGGTGATAAAACTTTCAATTAACCAAAACCAAATAAAAAAAATCAGGATGACATTAAAATACATTAAGTAATTAAAAATACAAATTAAAATCAATTAAAATTAATTTATTTATTCAATAAAATAATAAAATAAATAATAAAATAATGAAATAAAATAATAAAATAATAAAATAAGTAGTAAGATAATAAAATAAAATGTAATAAAATATATAAATTAATAATAAAATAATATAAAAATACAGAAATAAAATAAAATAAAATAAAGAAAAAATAACTAAAAATTGCACTTCGAAAAACAATTAAATTATTAAATTTCAAATCAATAAAAATAATTAATTTATTTATAAATTAAAAACAGTACATTAAAAATAAAAGTAATAAAATAAAATGTAATAAAATGCATACATTACATAAATAAATGTAATAAAATACATACATTACATTAATAAAAATGAAATAAAATAAATACAGAAATTAAATAAAAGATAGTACAGAACATTAATTAAGAAGCATCAAAAATACAGTAATGGTTTGACCACTTGGCCAAAGTGGCCAGGAGACAGCAAATGTTCCTGCTTTGTGGAAGCAGATTACAAAGCACAGTGGTGATACAGTAATGGTTTGACCACTTGGCCAAAGTTGCCAGGAGACAGCAAATGTGGTGATTCAGAAAGGGTTTGACCACTTGGCCAAAGTTGCCAGGAGACAGCAAATGGTCCTGCTTAGAGGAAGCAGATTACAAAGCACAGTGGTGATACAGTCTGGGAGAAGTCCCCTTGGCAAAAGGATGGCAGAGAATAATGGATTGAACAGCACAGACACCAGTGTAACACACAGTGAAAGCTGCACACCCAAGAAGCCCAAGTACTTGGGTTCTTTTCTTTCGCCAAGGAAGAAAAAAAATAAAAATTAATAAAAGAAAAAGAAAAAAATGGGGTTTGAATTATAAATGGGACTTTTTTGTCTTTAAAGTCGCATTTATACTTCTTTTACAAATAGCTAACAATGCTACCTTGTCTTTTTCCCCCAAGAAAAAAAAAGAAAAGAATTAAAAAAAATTAAAATTAAAAAATTAAAATTTAAATAATTAAATAATTACAAAAAAAAGGAAAAATATTTCTCCTTTCAGGAACCAAAAACTGATATAAAACCAGGGCTTCTCCTCCCAACCCTCTGGTCTCTGTCTTCGCCTGTGGCACCCACAGGAAGGCACAGCCACAGCAAGGCAGGCACCTCCCTGCTCCCAAGCACCCAGTACCCTGGACCCAAAAGCCACAGCAGCCTGAAGCCCTCCTTTCCTCGTCGCTTCCCCAACAGAAATGGGACCACGAGGCACGTGCAGCTGCTTTTAAAGGCCAATGGCCGCCCTTCAGAAACCACGCCCCAATACCTGGCTTCTCCTCATTGGCTGGAAGCCCATCATTCCCAGCATCCCAGCCCCTGTGACATCACTAACAAAACTGGCGGAAGTCGTTTTAAAGATGGCGGACGCGGCTTCGATATGGGCAAAACACTTCCGGGTTGCTAAAACGCATCAATATCGCTTCTAATTATGAAATAATAACGAATAAATAACGAATAAAGAAATTAACGATCTGGATCACCCAGGCATAACTGAAGGTATTTGGAGGCATTTATAGGAGTTGTAGTTTTCCTACATCCACAAAGCACTATGAACCCAAACAATGATGGATCTGGAACAAACTTGGCATGCATACCCAGTGTGCCCAAATTTGAATACTGGTGGGTTTTGAGGGGAATTGGCCTGGACATTTTGGAGTTGTAGGCACTGGGATTTATAGTTCACCTGCAATCAACAAGCACTCTGAACTCTATCAAAGATGGAACTGGACCTAACTTGGCACACAGGGCCCCCACAACCAACAAAAAATACTGGAGGTCTTTGGGGAAAATTCACCTTGATTCAGGGAAGTTGTAGT